GAAGAACCTGGAGGAAGTATCTAGAGGAAGAACCTGGAGGAAAAACCTAGAGCAGGGGGTGTCAAACTCAATTTAATTGTGGGCCGCATCAACATTATGGTTGCCCTCACAGGGCCTGTAAGACTATATAAATGTATCTAATCTTTATCATAATTGCCTCTGCATTCGATGATCTCTGGTTTTAGTAATAACTTAATACCTAGATCTGAAAGTAGAAGTCTAGGAAATAACCTGGTGGGCCGGATTCGGCCCCTGGGCCTTGAGTTTGACACATGTGACCTAGAGGAAGAACCTGCAGGAAGAATGGGCAGCTTTACCTCACGAGAAGATAAAGAACCTCAATCACAACTATCACAGAAGACTGTAAACCGTTGTTGATTCTGAAGAGGACAACACATAATAATAACTCGGGGTTTACAAAGTTTTCAACAGGAGCATTTTATTATTTCCTTTATTGCTATGGTTTCTTTACTGGTTGTGCTGTTCTGTGATGTCTGAGAGTTTAATATGAATCACATGAATAAGAAATCTCTTTGGTCCTGATCACTCATGTCTCCTCCACAGATGGCCCACATCTTACAAATTCTACCGGGCGTATGTAAGCACAGGAGCTCCACTGTAAGAAAGGGGGAAAAAAATGTGATCCAGTTCTGGACTTCAAGTTTGTTACATACCTGAGCTGGTTTGTACAGAAGATGCCTTCTTATTAATGGTGACCATCATCCCTCACGTACGTCTAGTTCTTCATCCTAAAACAATTGAATGGAAGAAAAAGTATTTTAAATGTAATCCCTTACAAACTGGCAACACTCACCCGGAGGTAATACTATGATCTGTGTGCTGCCACTCTCATTTACACTCAGCCCCATCTACCTGACCTTGGTGGGGGATGGTGAGATCTTCCTGGGTGGAGTCCCGGGAATACAGAGGATGCGGACATCTCTCTGGTGGGTTCCTCCTACTGGATCCATCTGTAGGAGACACACACACTGACTGAATACATTGTTTCTATGTGTGTATCATATGATGGGGGACGTAGGCGGAGCCTCCGTACTGCTCTCTCCTCTTACCTGGTGATGTGAGGGGCGGCTCATTCTCCATCACCACGTCCTTGTAGAGATCCCGGTGTCCTTCTAGATACTCCCACTCCTCCATGGAGAGATAGACAGAGACATCCTGACACCTTATAGGAACCTGACACACACAATGATACAGTCACCACCCAGACACATCCCTTGTCTGTTCCCGGATCATGTCCCAGAATCCCCGGCACCGCCCACCTCTCCCGTCACCACCCAGACACGCCCCTTGTCTGTTCCTGGATCATGTCCCAGAATCCCCGGCACCGCTCACCTCTCCCGTCACCACCCAGACACGCCCCTTGTCTGTTCCTGGATCATGTCCCAGAATTCCCGGCACCAATCACCTCTCCTGTCAGCAGCTCCATCATCTTCTCGGTGACTTCTAGAATCTTCTTGTCACATCTCTCAAGTATTAGGGAGTGAGGTGGGAATGGTACATGGATACTGGGTGTCTGTTGCTCATTAAATATTTTCCTTGCTACCTTATAATCCTGTTAAAAATAAAAACTGTTATCACTGTGGATATTCATCAGCTCTTGAGTCAGGTCTGCGTTTTATGAATAGAGATCAGAGTGATGTCATGTGACCTCCCAGAATCCTCCTCCCCCCTCCGGTCAGGTCTGTGTTTTATGAATAGAGATCAGAGTGATGTCATGTGACCTCCCAGAATCCTCCTCACCCCTCCGGTCAGGTCTGTGTTTTATGAATAGAGATCAGAGTGATGTCAAGTGACCTCCCAGAATCCTCCTCACCTCTCCGGTCAGGTCTGTGTTTTATGAATAGAGATCAGAGTGATGTCATGTGACCTCCCAGAATCCTCCTCACCTTTCCGGTCAGGTCTGTGTTTTATGAATAGAGATTAGAGTGATGTCATGTGGCCGCCCAGAATCCTCCTCACACCTCCGGTCAGGTCTGTGTTTTATGAATAGAGATCAGAGTGATGTCATGTGACCTCCCAGAATCCTCCTCACCCCTCCGGTCAGGTCTGTGTTTTATGAATAGAGATCAGAGTGATGTCATGTGACCTCCCAGAATCCTCCTCCCCCCTCCGGTCAGGTCTGTGTTTTATGAATAGAGATCAGAGTGATGTCATGTGACCTCCCAGAATCCTCCTCACCTCTCCGGTCTGTTCTGTGTTTTATAATAGAGATAAGAGTGATGTCATGTGACCTCCCAGAATCCTCCTCACCTCTCCGGTCAGGTCTGTGTTTTATTAATAGAGATAAGAGTGATGTCATGTGACCTCCCAGAATCCTCCTCACCTCTCCGGTCAGGTCTGTGTTTTATTAATAGAGATAAGAGTGATGTCATGTGACCTCCCAGAATCCTCCTCACCTCTCCGGTCAGGTCTGTGTTTTATTAATAGAGATAAGAGTGATGTCATGTGACCTCCCAGAATCCTCCTCACCTCTCCGGTCAGGTCTGTGTTTTATTAATAGAGATAAGAGTGATGTCATGTGACCTCCCAGAATCCTCCTCACCTCTCCGGTCAGGTCTGTGTTTTATTAATAGAGATAAGAGTGATGTCATGTGACCTCCCAGAATCCTCCTCACCTCTCCGGTCAGGTCTGTGTTTTATTAATAGAGATAAGAGTGATGTCATGTGACCTCCCAGAATCCTCCTCACCTCTCCGGTCAGGTCTGTGTTTTATTAATAGAGATAAGAGTGATGTCATGTGACCTCCCAGAATCCTCCTCACCTCTCCGGTCAGGTCTGTGTTTTATTAATAGAGATAAGAGTGATGTCATGTGACCTCCCAGAATCCTCCTCACCTCTCCGGTCAGGTCTGTGTTTTATTAATAGAGATAAGAGTGATGTCATGTGACCTCCCAGAATCCTCCTCACCTCTCCGGTCAGGTCTGTGTTTTATTAATAGAGATAAGAGTGATGTCATGTGACCTCCCAGAATCCTCCTCACCTCTCCGGTCAGGTCTGTGTTTTATGAATAGAGATCAGAGTGATGTCATGTGACCTCCCAGAATCCTCCTCACCTCTCCGGTCAGGTCTGTGTTTTATGAATAGAGATCAGAGTGATGTCATGTGACCTCCCAGAATCCTCCTCACCTCTCCGGTCAGGTCTGTGTTTTATGAATAGAGATCAGAGTGATGTCATGTGACCTCCCAGAATCCTCCTCACCCCTCCGGTCAGGTCTGTGTTTTATGAATAGAGATCAGAGTGATGTCATGTGACCTCCCAGAATCCTCCTCACCTCTCCGGTCAGGTCTGTGTTTTATGAATAGAGATCAGAGTGATGTCATGTGACCTCCCAGAATCCTCCTCACCTCTCCGGTCAGGTCTGTGTTTTATTAATAGAGATAAGAGTGATGTCATGTGACCTCCCAGAATCCTCCTCACCTCTCCGGTCAGGTCTGTGTTTTATGAATAGAGATCAGAGTGATGTCATGTGACCTCCCAGAATCCTCCTCACCTCTCCGGTCAGGTCTGTGTTTTATGAATAGAGATCAGAGTGATGTCATGTGACCTCCCAGAATCCTCCTCACCTCTCCGGTCAGGTCTGTGTTTTATGAATAGAGATCAGAGTGATGTCATGTGACCTCCCAGAATCCTCCTCACCTCTCCGGTCAGGTCTGTGTTTTATGAATAGAGATCAGAGTGATGTCATGTGACCTCCCAGAATCCTCCTCACCTCTCCGGTCAGGTCTGTGTTTTATGAATAGAGATCAGAGTGATGTCATGTGACCTCCCAGAATCCTCCTCACCTCCCTGGTCAGCAGGTAGATGATCTCAAGGGCGAGGTCTAATATTCTGTGTATATGTCGTAGAACGGACATAATTATTTGACAAAAAGCTGTAATGTTATCAGCAGACTGTTGGCCCCCTCACCAAACTCAGAGCAAAGAGCAGCAGACAGACCCAGAGATGACGTCACTGGGTCTCCACACAGTTTACTTCAAAAGCGAAGTGATTTGATTGAAAATTTTTAATTGCACGTTAATCAGAGGGTAACATGGAAGGCATTATATGCGTACACGTCAATTTAGCTTTAAAAGTTAAAAAAGGACAAATCTTCCCATTCATGTTTAAATCTTCTCATTCTAGGATTCTTCTCTGGATAGACCAGACCGTGAAATGCTTGCAGTGTGCTTTTTCTGGTGTATGAGTAGGTATCCTTTCTGAACGAAACATTTACCACACTCTGTACATAAAAAAGGCCGTTCCCCTGTGTGAACCCTCCGATGCGTAAGAAGGTTTGCTTTTTGTGTAAAACATTTCCCACACTCCGAACAGGAAAAAGGTCGCTCCCCAGTGTGACATTTCTGATGTGTAAGAAGATGGCCTTTCCGTATGAAAGACTTCCCACACTCCGTACATGAAAAAGGACGTGCACCCGTGTGACTTTTCTGGTGTGTAAGAAGGTGTCCTTTTCGCATGAAACCTTTCCCGCACTCTGAACATGAAAAAGGACGCTCACCTGTGTGATTTCTCTGGTGTGTAAGAAGCAGTCCTTTCTGAGTAAAATATTTCCCACACTCCATACAGGAAAATGGAAACTCACCTGTGTGACTCCTCTGGTGTGTAAGAAGGTGTGCCTTCTGAGTGAAACATTTCCCACACTCTGGGCAGTAATAAGTATAATTTCCTGTGTGACTTTTCTGGTGAGCAATAAGTACTCTTTTACGTGTGAAACTCTTCTTGCACTCTGGACAAGAAAAAGGACGTTCGCCTGTGTGACGCCTCTGGTGAGTGAGAAGGTCTCCTTTGTGAGTGAAACTTTTCTCGCACTCTGAACAAGAAAAAGGACGCTCACCTGTGTGGCTTTTCTGGTGTATAAGAAGGTGTCCTTTCCGTAGGAAACACCTTCCACACTCTGAGCAGGAAAAAGGACGCTCACCCTTGTGAATTCTCTGGTGTGCCGTGAGATTTCCGCTCTGCGCAAAACATTTGCCACACTCTGAACATGAATATGGACGCTCACCGGTGTGGATTCTCTGGTGCGTAAGAAGATCTTCTTTCTGAAGAAAACATTTTCCACACTCCGAACATTGAAATGGACGTTCCTGTGTGAGAGTGCTTTGATCTTCAGCACTAGGTGACTTTGAAGAAGATCTCAGGGGGTTTGGCAGATCAGACAAAGAGTGGCCATTACGTGATCTTGGATGGAGTTTTTGGGTGGCAGTTTGTGACTTTTTACGACAATTTTTTAGAACTGGGTCCGTCGATCTCTGAGAATTTATGTGTTCAGCCTTATTTGAAGATACCATAGAATGTCCTTCCGAGATGTTCTGGATCTCAGGGCCACCTGATGGAAATATAAAAAGGACATAAACGTTCCATATTTTCCAATCAGGAGTCATCCATCTATGGTTGTGTGGTCAGCAGTGTCACAAATCTTGAGGAATGGAGATGGACCTTCATATGGTGTACAGTATCTCCTCCTCATTTGTGGGTCACATGACGTTATATTGAGGAATGGAGATGGACCTTCATATGGTGTACAGTATCTCCTCCTCATTTGTTGATCACATGACATTATATTGGGGAATGGAGATGGACCTTCATATGGTGTACAGTATTTCCTCCTCATTTGTGGGTCACATGACGTTATATTAAAACTCATAATTTTCTCACCTTTGCTGAAATCTACAGAAGATTCTTCCTTTTCAACTGTGACCACCTTCCCAACCTCCTCGGTAGATTGCTGATCGCCCCTCACACATGTCTCTTTTTCTTCTTTAACTTCAGCTTTCGAGTCTAATTCAACCTAAACCAACCGAACAAATAATGGAATGTCAGAATATAATATATTTGAATGTGAGGTCCAAAAATCTAACTAAACAGAAGAAAATATTTTGAGCCCGTCACTTCCATCTACCTGATCATGGTGGGGGATGGTGAGATCTTCCTGGGTGGAGTCCCGGGAATACAGGGGGCGGGGACATCTCTCTGGCGGGTTCCTCTTACTGGATCCATCTGTAGGAAACACACACACTGACTGAATACATTGTTTCTATGTGTGTATCAGATGATGGGGGATGTAGGTGGAGCCTCCGTACTGCTCTCTCCTCTTACCCGGTGATGTGAGGGGCGGGGCATTCTCCATCACCACGTCCTTGTAGAGATCCCGGTGTCCTTCTAGATACTCCCACTCCTCCATGGAGAGATAGACAGAGACATCCTGACACCTTATAGGAACCTGACACACACAATGATAGTCACCACCCAGGCACGCCCCTCGTCTGTTCCTGGATCATGTCCCAGAATCCCCGGCACCGCTCACCTCTCCCATCAGCAGCTCCATCATCTTCTTGGTGACTTCCAGGATCTTCTTGTCACATCTCTCGGATCCGAGTGAATGAGACGTGGACGGCATGAGGCTATATCTGTTGGGTGTCACTTCACCGTTAGACGTCTTTTTTACTAATTCATAATCCTGTTGAAAAGAGATGCCGTCAGCTGTATATTCCCCAGAATCCTTCACATCTGGTTTCATCATGGAAGGTGAAAGTGATGCCACGTGACACCCCCAGAATGCTCCTCACCTCTCCAGTTATCAGGTCGATGATCTCCAACGCCAGCTTTAGTATGCTATTGGCCACGTGACTCCCCTCCTCATCCATTCTCATTCAAGAAGCCATGTGATCTATTCGGGACGCAGTCATGTGATCTATTCGGAACGCAGTCATGTGATCTATTCGGAACGCAGTCAGTCATGTGATCTATTCGGGACGCTCCTCCCTGTAGAATAACAAAGTGAAAAATACCAGCACTGTACATTCGTCCAGACATGAGGGAACTCAGCATTGCTGGTCTGTTATCATCTGTGTGATAAAAACATGATCGGTCTGCACTGATGTCAGCAATTAATCATAACGCAGTCATGTGATCTATTCGGAACGCAGTCAGTCATGTGATCTATTCGGGACGCTCCTCCCTGTAGAATAACAAAGTGAAAAATACCAGCACTGTACATTCGTCCAGACATGAGGGAACTCAGCATTGCTGGTCTGTTATCATCTGTGTGATAAAAACATGATCGGTCTGCACTGATGTCAGCAATTAATCATCTTATATAGAGAATACTTATTCATATTGTTTACATATTAAAGGAGAACTATGAGGAGGGGGGGGGGGGGCTTTTCACTCACCCCATAGTTCTAGCCGCCCTGTGACAATGGAGGGGCTGGATTCCCCCCCGCTCCGATCCGCCAGCGCTGGGCGGATCCCGGCACAATTGTCGGGATCAGCTGCGGCGTCTCAGTATATAGGGAGCTGTAGCTGGCGGTATACTGAGCTTAGGGTGACGGGAGGACGCTAGTTTGTGTCCTCCCGTTACCCTAAGGAGAACTATGGGGAAAACCCCTGACCCCATAGTTGTCCTTTAAATGATAAAGAGTAGCTATGGAGCATGAGGACGGACATGACAGGTGGAGGGGGTTACTGTGTGTGAATATAAAATAATCTCTTCTTACCTCCTCTGCTGCCACTTCCAGCAATGTCTCCTCTCTACTTCCTCCCGACTCACCTCTCACATCCTGTCTTCACCTTACATCTCCAGCCATGTGTATGATCCACCACCACTTGCTGGCTTTGTGTTTCGTATAGATGAGGTCGCCACCTTCTGGGGAACGTAGGAACTGCAGCCTTCATCCCAAATTTGTATATATACAGCCTCCCTGGGGCTTCTAGAGGGATGTCACCTTCACACAGGTTGTCACACATTTGTCCACTGCAACCCATCAAGAGGAAATGGGGGGGGGGGGGGGGGGGGGGGAGA